TATTTATTTATTTAGTACTGGGGATTGAACCCAGAGATGCTTAACCACTAAGCCACATCCCCTAGCCCTATTTTGTATTTTATTTAGAGACAGAGTCTCGCTGAGTTGCTTAGGGCCTCACTAAATTGCTGAGGCTGGCTTTGAACTCAAGATCCGTAGGATTACAGGAGTGGGCCACTGCACCAGGCCCTCCCCTAAACCTTTTAAAGGGAGCTCTACTTGACTCTATAGCAGACTCCCAAAGAGGTCTGTCAGTTGTCCCCTTCCTTCCCAGCACTCTACCATTCCCAATGTACCACATGCCTCTTAAGCAGGGAAAGCTACCTTCTGCAGTATGCTAGCTAATGTAGCATCTTTTTTTTTTTTTTGGCAGTTATAAAGAAGTAAATTACTTAGATCCAAGTTATTTATCACTTCTGTTCAAGGCAAAATGAGTTAACATTATTCAACTGAAAAAGTAAATATAAATGACATGCTTCTTAAAACATAAATATTTCAGTGACTCAATTTTAAACTCACATTTCTAGTTATTTTCTGGATAAATAAACTCAAACTCATGGTGGTACATGGAGCTGAAATGTGACAATACAACCCTTTGACCTTTCGCATGGGTAATCCTGTATAAAACATAAAATCATATGCAGTTGCTACCACAAAAAAGGTATCAGACTGATACAGGTATGTAATTTTTAAACTTAGATTCCTAAGTGAATACAACATTTTTGTTTCTGTAGTAGTTTCTTATGCATTTGAGTAAGCTTTGAATGTAAGAGCTAAGTGAATACTAAGTGTAAGGAAGCTCTAAGGAAATTTTCCCCTTGGTTTCCTGCTAGAAAATATTGTGTCCATAAGTAGAAGTCAATAAGCAATATAGCATCATTTAAAAAAATAAGGTCCATCTTTAAAGTTGATACTGAACCAGTATGCCATTGTTTGCTTTAAAATTAAATCAGGTGAAATTTTTTGAAATTAGGTTGACAAAAAAAGAGAAGCAGTAATATCAATTACAACCAGTACAGAACTCTTAATTCGAAACAAAGGAAAGACTGCCACCTACTGAGAAGAAGATATATAATTTTTCAGAAATCTTTCCCAAATAGAACAGGAAAGCCTCAAATTCAATGGACTCCTAACTCCAAGAAAGCCTATTTTTAAAAGCATACAGTACAAAAGGACAAATATTGTATGATTTCACTTACATGAAATAGCTAGAATAGTCAAATTCCTAGAGATAGAAACTAGAATAGCAGTTACCAGGGGATGGGGGAGAGGGAACAAGGAGTTATTTTTTAATGAGTAGTTTTAGTTCCGAGATGGGTGATGGTGATATTTACACAATATGAATGTATTTAATGGTACTTAAATGAACCCTTTCCAGGTGTGCTGGCTCATGACTGTGGCCCTAGTGATTCAGGAAGATTGAAATTTTGAGATCAGCCTCAGCAATTCAGCAAAACTTTACACAATTTAGCAAGACACCGCCTCAAAATAAAAAAGACTAGGATTTATTGGTAAAGTGCCCCTGGGTTCACTCCCCAGGACCAAAAAAAAAAAGTTGTACCCTTAAAAATGAGCTGGACATGGCGGCTCATGTCTGTAATCCCAGTAAATCAGGAGGGAGGCAGGAGGATCACAAATTTGAGGTAATTTAGTGAAATCCTGTATCAAAAGAAAAAAACCTAAAAAGAGGCTGAAGATGTGGCTCAGTGGTAGAGCACCTCCGGGTTCAATCCCCAGTGTAAGAAAGAAAAATGTTAAAATGGTACATTTTATTATTTTACCACAATTAAAGAAGAAAAACAAAGCAGCAGGAGTAACAGCAACATACAATACACCATGGCTTATTGGGTAAGATGGCATGCCTATAATCCTAGCCCAGGGGAAGCTGAGGCAGAAGGATCAAGTTCAAGGCCAGCCTCAGCAACTTATTAAGAACCTCAAAACAGGAAGAAGAAAAAGGCGAGAACGACCCGGACTGACCAAAGCAGCACACCACTGCATCCCCAAGTCCAGCGCCTGCGTCCTGCCACCGTCACCACTATGCCCAAGAGAAAGGTTGAAAGGGATGCTAAAGGAGATAAAGCCAAGGTGAAAGACGAACCACAGAGAAGATCTGCAAGGTTGTCTGGCAAACCTGCTCCTCCAAAGCCAGAGCCCAAGCCTAAAAAGGCCCCTGCAAAGAAGGGAGAGAAGGTACCCAAAGGGAAAAAGGGAAAAGCTGACACTGGCAAGGATGGGAATAACCCTGCAGAAAATGGAGATGCCAAAACAGACCAGGCACAGAAAACTGAAGGTGCTGGAGATGCCAAGTGAAGTGTGTGCGTTTTTGATAACTGTGTACTTCTGGTGACTGTACAGTTTGAAATACTATTTTTTATCAAGTTTTATAAAAATGCAGAATTCTGTTTTACTTTTTTTTTTTTTTTAGGCTATGTTGTTAGCACACAGAACACTTCATTGTTGTTTTGGGGGGAAGGAGCATATGTCACTAGTAGAATGTCTCCAAAGCTGGATTGCTGTGGGGGAAAACACCTTTCCCTTCTAGTTTTGAGAGACTTCCTCTTTGTTCCCAAGAGGAAGGGATTCCCTGATGTTGGCACACATAGCCACCTTGGCACAAATGACTTGTGGTATGGAAAAACTCAGACTCATCTGTATGTCCTCCTGTCCCTGTCATCGGCATAGACTTAACTCCCCTAAACTCAGACCTGTTGGGACCTGATTCCAGTGTGATTATCAGTGTGTGGGGCAATCTGGACTTTCCAGTGACATCATTGAGAATAGTGTCCCTCAGAAGAGCAGCAGTTCCTTTTCTAGACTGTGGATCTTCAGATTAATAATTTTTGCCATTTTCCTTTCATTTCCTGAAAGTCAGGGTCGGCTTGTGAAAAGTTGTTGTTAAACAACATGCTAAATGTGAAATGTCAACCCTCACTCTAAACTTTCCCTATTCAGAGCATCAAATGAAGACTTCATTGGGTTTTATAGTGGCTTTCTGATTTTGGTAGTCCATCCAAGAAGGGAGTTTGAAAGTTTTTGTATACTGTTAATGATTGTCTGCCCATGTCCTGCCTGAAATACTATGATTGTTTATAAAAAGTATCTTTAATAAAGTTGGATACAGTTAAAAAAAAAGAACCTCAAAATAAAAATAAAAGGGCTGGAAATGTAGCTCAATAGTTGAGTGCCTTGGATTCAATCCCTAGTACTGAAAGGGAAAAGTAAAAAATATACAATGGCTGCTTTTGTCTGAAACTTACTGCTAACTAAACCAAGTGATATACAAACACACAAACTGATTTTTAGGAGGTTTTTTTTTTTTTTTTGTGTGTGTGTGTGTGTGTGTGTAAAGTATTGGGAACTGAATCCAGGAGCTCTCTAACACTGAGCCCTTTCTATTTTTATTTGACACAGTTTTGCTAAACAGCCCAGACTGGCCTTGAACTGGTGATCCTTCTGCTTCAGCCTCCCAATTCACTGGGATTACAGGCATATGCCACTGTGCCAACTGAATCTTTTAATTATATTAAATATGTCCCTACACTTTCTTGTACCATTCCTATGCTCAGCCCTCACCTATCCATGAAAGCTCAACTGAAATCACATGTCTGAACAGACAACTGAAGTTTTTTTTATTCTTAAAATACTAACTAAATAAGCACTATGGTACCATATACATACATGTAAGAGAATAAAATACTAGGGGCTGGGTTTGTGGCTCAGTGGTGGAGTGCTTGCCTAGCATGTGTGAGGCACTGGGTTCGATCCTCAGCACGACATAAAAATAAATAAATAAATAAAGGTATTGTGTCCATCTACAACTAAAAAAATATTTTTTAAAAAAGAATAAAATACTAGAAATTAAAATAAGTTAGTAAAAAGAGGACAAGTTAAAATTATTCAATTCTGGGCTGGGGATACAGCTCAGTTGGTAGAGTGCTTACCTCACATGCAAAAGGCCCTGGGTTCAATCCCCAGCACCATACATACAAGCACGTACACACACACACACACACACACACACACACACTATTCAATTCTGCTGGGCAAGCAACTCAGTGAGACCCTGTCTTAAATAAAATACTAAAAAAGGCTGGAGATGTGGCTAAGTGGTTGAGTGCCCTTGAGTTCAATCCCTGGTACTCCCTCCCCCCAAATTCAATTCTATTTGATAATTTTTACATTTTTAAAAAATGTTTATTTTTTAGTTTTAGGTGACCACAATATCTTCATTTTATATTTATGTGGTGCTGAGGATCAGCATGCTAGAGGAGCACTCTACCACTGAGCCACAATCCCAGCCCCTATATTTTATATTCATTTTCAAACCTCTGTAAAACAAATGTAAGGTGTAAAATACTAAATGTTTATAATAATTGAAAAAATAGCAACAATTTAAAAATCCATCCATAGAGAATCAAGTAAATTAACTGTATGGGCAAATATTACACCTAAATTAGAAAGGATAAGATAGATTCGGATGTAATCTGAATGCTATCTAAGGGATTTTGTAAAGGGGCACAGGGGATGGAACAGCTGGGAAAATGTTTGTGGGGCTGGGGTTGTAGCTTTGTGGTACAGCACTTGCCTAGCATATGTGAGGCACTGGGTTTGATCCTTATCACCATGTTAAAAAAAATAAATTAAATAAGGGTATTGTGTTCATCTACAACTAAAAATAATTCTTAAAAAAGTTTTTAAACACATAGATAACTCCTGGAAGACCAGAAAGTATTAAGTGGTTGTCTCTCTCTGGAGATTGGGATGTGGGGTGGGAGATGGGAAGGTGAAGGAAAAAGCGATTTACTTCTCATTTTATTTCCACTTGAACTGTGACAAAAACTTAACTGTTACATATCATTTTTATATTTAGAAAAATAAAGCTAAATTTAATGCTTAACACTAAGGCTCTAAATGGGTAGTACCGCACATTTACATAAACATTTAAAGGGAGGGGGTGTCAAAGATTTTTAAAAAGCATGATCATGCCCAGAAGTTACCTGAACAATTGTGAATCCAGATCTTAGAATAATATCTTGTATCTCTTCCTCTTTGTCAACAATATCTGGTTTGATAATAGCCAGAGTTTTTTCTACATATATCTGAGGTGGGGGCATTGATATCTCCATTCTGGCTTTTCTGGGTACAATTTAGAAGTTTCTTGACAGATATCAACTGCAATGACATACATCCCCCCACCCCAAATACAACATAACTTTAATTAAGAATAGTAGTATTAGGTGATAGATTTAATTAATTTATAAAGGGAGAACTGCCATGTTTTTCTACAAACAGTCTGGACAATATAAATTTCTACTGTGCCCAAGTCAAGCCTTGGGTTTTCCTACATGCTTTCATCAAGGAAGGGAGGATCAAGAGCTCTCAGATCAGAGGCCAAGGGATGACCTAAAGGCCTGATACTAGACCAGACACCTGGAGGCCGCTGTAGCTGGGGAGGAGGACTGGTCGGCCACGCAGCTCACCACTCATTGAGGGGAATGGTTCCAGCCAACTGCCTTAAAAGACCCCGCCCTACCAAGACCACTCTACATACAGGGTTAAGCGTGAGTGAAAAATTGGATCCCCAAGTCCTCTGGTACGGTCCAGGATAGACTTTCTGAGCGCTCGCCTTGGTGAACACCCTTCTGCCGCCACACAAACTTGTTGCTAGGAGACCTGAAGTCCCGGCTTGCCAACGGTGGCTGCTGAGGGCCAATCCAAGCAGGCACTTCACAAGCCTCTGATCGGTTCTTTTTCTTTGAGGGTTGGGGCTAGGGATTGAACCCAAGGCCCCCTGCATGCTAAGCACAGGCCCTACCACTGAGCTACACATATGTTCCAGCCCCCTGAAGGATTCTGAACCAATGGAATCAGTAACAGTGTTGTTGTTTTATAGTTTTTCCCTTGTGAGTCTTAAAGCACTAGACATTTTCTTCATAATTTCTCACCCACCCCGACCCATTTGAAGGATCCTTTGATATCCCCTCTTTATAAATCAGACAAATCATAAATGCTCCCCTTAGCCAGTCCCATTCCCTTCTGGACAGCCAATGTAAAAAGACCAGATATCTTACTTGTTTCACTACATGAAGTACCTCCCTCTATTCCCAGCTTCTGAAATCATTAAAAAGCAACCTTTGGTTTGAGAAATATTTATTTATAGAGAAGTAGTTAAGGTTTAATCTAATTGCCCCTAAATGAATCCTTTGGAACAAAAATATGTGCAACATTTATGGCATAAATCCAAATCTCAACACTCCCCCCCCCCTTTTAAAAATATTAGACCCAAAGACAGTGTGGACTCCATGGTTGTTAGATAAAAGCATTACTCTTATTAGAAAAGACAACAGAGAAGTGGAAAACAAGCCCTGAGATCTCTGGTCAGAGTCTCAAAGAGAGGTCCAAACTCCAGAAAGGGTCAGGATAGCAGCTCCAGGTTAACAAAACAGATTTCCATCATCCACTGGGTTGGCTGGCACTCATTCCAGATTACTTAAGTCTCTTCTCTTGTCTAAACAAATACTCAGCACCTACAGAGTCAAGGCATAGATAGTAAGCTATGAATCTTAGAAGCTACAAAGAATTGAATGCAATTTTCTTTTTTGGCAAATAGATCCAACTACATTTTTTTTTTCTTTAAAGTATGATGCTGCCCAGAAAAGAAACAGGCAAAAAAAAATTTTTTTCCCTTTTGTGGTACTAGTGATTGAACCTAGGCCTCATGCATGCTAGGCAAGTGCTCTATTGCTGAGTTACATCTCCAGCCCTTTAAAATTTTCATTTTGAGACAGGGTCTCTTCTCACTAAGTTGACCAGGCTGGCGACAAACTTGTGATCCTCCTGCCTCAGCCTCCTGAGTAGCTGGGATTATAAGCATGCAACCCTTTGCATAGCTCAAATGTTCCTTTGAAGCTACTATGTCTAATCCTCTAAAGATGAGAAAGTGTGAATGTACAATAATATCAACAGATTAAGCAACCAAAAAATGGACAGCGACTGTAGTTTACATTTTTAGCCCTCTGATTTGAAGCTTCTCTGGAAGTAAGAGTCCTATTACTTGTCTATCTCCAGCTTTCTTGCTACCTACCTTTATAGACTACTTCATTTCACTATGTATTAAAGATGGACCTATTGAGTCTCAGAGTTTTCCAAATCATCAGGCTCAATCATCAATCCTTAAGGTCCTTGAATCACCTCAACATCACCCTCATTCTTATAAACTTTTCAAAATCAGATTCCAGAGGCTGTGCACCTTTTCCTTGCAGCTCACTCCATGTAGTACCTGAATTTGTTCCAAGACTTCACGCTGCATCTCCACAGCCATATGATATACATGATGATCAGAGTCATTGTACATCACAGCATTTTGGAACATCAGCATCAGATCCCGCTGGAATTGGGCCATGGTACGAATCCGCCCCTTAGACAGATTCCTCTTCAGGCTAGTTAAGTCCATGGGTCTGCAGATGGCCAAGAGAAACCAGAGAAAATCAAGCTGTAATGTGTAAAAAGTGGTGACCTAACATGCTCTCTTAGATAACTGTTGTTTTATTTTGTTTTTATTTTTCATATTGGGTATTGAACCCAGATTACTTTACCACTGTTCTACATTCTTAGTTTTTATTATTTTTTATTATGAGGTAGGCATGGAAACTGCACCCAGCAAACTGGCTATAATGAAAAATGGTAGCAAAGATAATAAAGCCCATCAGATAATAAAATAGCAGCAGCAGCTAATATCTGACTATTTACAACAGGCCAAGCACTATGATAGATACATTCTATCACAAATTAATCCTCTCAATAAACAGATAATGTAGGTATTATTACTGTTGTTATGATGCTGATGAGGAGGAGAAAGAGGAACAGGAGATGGAATCTTACTGTTTCCAAGGCTGGTCTTGAACTGTAGATCTTCCTGCAACAGCCTCCCAAATGACAAGAGAACCAAGCATGATTGTGTGTGCCTATAATATCAGCTATTCAGGAGACTGAGGCAAGAGGATTATGGGGACAGCCTGGAAAACTGCAAGACTCCATCTAAAAACAAAAACAGGGCTGAGTGTGGTTATACACACTTGTAATCCCGGCAACTCAGCAAGACTGCAAGTTCAAGGACAGCCTCAGCAAGTTGGCAAGGCATTAAGTAACTTAGCAAGACCCTGTCTTATGATAAAAAAAAAAAAAATTTAAAAAGGAAAAAAAGAAAGACTGTGGATGTATTTTGGTGGTAAGATATCCCTTGGTTTAATTCTCAGTACCAAAAAAAATAAAAAATAAAAAAAAGGATTATTATTAAACTTTGTTGGGCAAATTGGGAAACTTAAAAAGGTTAAGTACTTGCCCAAAGTAACACATTCTGGACTCCAATTCAGAGGCAGCCTGACTCCGAAGTCCACAGGCCAAGACACTCTTCAATTATTATAGGAACAGAGTCAGCCTCAGGTATCAAGGCTGTAAGGAGCTCCAGTGTTCAGTTTGTCTTCAATAATCACTGTCCTTCCCCACATGAGGACAAACCATTTGTCCTCTCAGGAGTGTATAGAAACAAGGCACCATCTTTTTAAAAAAATATTTTTAATTATAGATGGACACAATACCTTTAATTAATTAATTAATTAATTTTTATGTGATGCTGAGGATTAAACCCAGTGCCTCACATGTGTGAGGCAAGAAAGTACCATCTTGGAAGCAGACAGGAGATCTTACTAGACACCAGTTCTGCCAGCATCTTCATCTAGGACTTCCCAGTCTCTAGAACCATGAGAAATAAACTTCTATTACCCAATCTGAGGTATTTTGTTTTAGCACTACAAATGAACTAAAGGTTCAGCCATGATCTTTTATATTCTATTACCATACTGTTTTATAATAGCATTTTAGGGAAAGGGAGGGGGAAGGGGAGTAGCAAGGATTGTCGAAGGTGATGGTCATCATTATACAAAATACATGTAAGAAGATGTGAATTTGGTGTCAACATACCTTATACACAGAGATATGATAAACTGTGGTATAAAGGTGTATTAAGAATTTTAATGCAAAAAAAGAGAGTTCACATATAATGGCATAATTTGGCGTGAACATACTTTACATACAGTTACAAAAAAATCGTGCTGTGAATGGATAATTATGAATGTAATGCATTCCACTATTGTCATGTATGTAAGAAATAAATAAAAATTCAAAATACTGTACTCAACCAATGTTTGTAACTTTGTATGCAACTTCTTTTTGGGTTAATATTTTTGCCTCAGAATACCTATAACTAATTAATTGCCTTAGAGTTTTGGAGGCTGAGACAGGAGGATTAATTGAAAGTTCAAGGTCAGGCTTGGCAACTTAGACCCTGTCTCAAAATTTTAAAAATAAATAAAAAGGGGCTGGGAATGTGGCTCAGTGCTAGAGTACCCTTGGGTTCAGTCTCCAGTACCATACACATTCACAAAAAAAAAAAAAAAAGTCAAAGACTAATTTAAGACTATAATGAATGGATCATATTACTTGAAAAGTCAATACTGCAAAAAAAAAAAAAAAAAAAGTTTACTTGCATTACTTCTCAAGTGAAGACACTGAACTCCTAACTTTATAAACTTGTTTGGCTGTAAAATATATGTTGAGTCTGCTGGGTCCAGTGGTGCAAGCCTAAAATTCCTGTGGCTCGGGAGGCTGAGGCAGGAGGATTGAAAGTTTAAAGCCAGCCTCAGCAACTTAGCAAGGCTCTAAGCTACTTTAGAGAGACCTTGTCTTAAAATAAAAAAATTAAAAGGGCTGGGGGATGTGGCTTGGTGATTAAGCGCCTCTGGGTTCAATTCCTGGTACAAAAATTGTGTGTGTGTGTGTGTGTGTGTGTGTATTGAATTTATAAGTAATTTATAAGTAATATAAATAAAGAAATAATCTAACAGATGGGAAAAGAATGAAAAGACAGATATAAAAAAGCAGCCAACCTTTCTTGACACCTTTTCCACTGACCTTTTCACCACATCCTTGTATCCTGGGGCCTGCCTTTCTGACACAGGCTTCAAAAATGGACTGCTGAACCTGTTAAGGGACAAACCCAGAAAAAAGTGAAGAAACCCTGGCAATTACTCTAAATAAGAAGAGTGGCTATGAACAATACTACTTAAAAATACAGAGTTAAGGCTCAGTTCTTGTTAGATTTCCCTTAGTGGAATGCAAACTGAGCACTATTAAGAGGAAATCTATTGTGAATGCCTGTAAATCTCAGTGAGGATGGCAAGTTGGAGGCCAGCCTGGGTAACTTAGTGAGACCCTGTCTCAAAATAAAACAAAAAGAACTGGGGGCACCTGGTTTGAATCCCCAGTACTGCTACTGCCAAAAAAAAAAAAAAAAAAGGAGAAAAAAGAAAAAAGAAATCTAAATCTATACATTTCCTCTTGCCAGTTTAAAAAAAACAGTGAAATATTTAACTATTATTATAATATACTAATTTAGAGCTCAGAAATTTGTTCAAAGCTCCTGAGGGCCTTTATATGTTAAAAAAAAAGAATCTACCATATGTCATATTGTAAGGAGGCATACATATTTTAAGTACGAAATATCATGTAATATAAATCAATTTCAGGAGACAATTCAAATGGCACAGCAACATTTTTATTATTTCTTTTTAGATATACATGACTGTAGAGCATATTTTGACATATCATACATATATGGAGTATAACTTATTCTAATTAGGATCAGATCCCATTCTTGTGGTTGTACATGATGTGGAATTATACTGGTCATGTATTCATATATAACACAGGAAAGTTATGTCTGATTAATTCTACAGTCTTTCCTATTCTCCCCCCCTCTCCCCTTCCCTTCATTCCCCTTTGTCTAATACAATGGACTTCTATTCTTCCCCTCCTCATCCTTCCTTGTTGTGGGTTAGTATTCACATATCAGAGAGAACATTCAGCCTTTGGTTTTATGGGACTGGTTTATTTCACTTAGCATGACATTCTCTAGTTCCATCCATTTACCGGCAAATGCCGTAATTTCATTCTTCTTTATAGTTGAGTAATATTCCACTGTGTATATATACCGCATTTTCTTTATCCATTCATCTGTTGAGGGGCACCTAAGTTGGTTCCACAGCTTGGCTACTGAATTTAGCTGCAGTAACTATTTCTTGTACAGACCAGTAAAAGCAGCTGAGTCTTAGGTATTATGACCTGTTTGAGGGATAAACATATCTCCTTTTATACTTAAGACCTAACGTGCTAATGCCTCAGTTCTGAACATAATCCTATTACCACTGTGGAGACCCACCTGTGACTGGCAATCATCTTCCAGACGGGCAAAAGAGTTTTTTTAAATAGCAAATGATCCTGAACAGGGTCACCTTGACTTAGATCAGTCCTAGAAGATACAACATGACAGAAGAGATAGTTAACTTTACAAATGGTATTCTGTCTCTCCAGTGATGAGGTTTTCTCAATGCATAGTGCTCTTAATTTTAATACCTGAAGGAATATAATACCACAGGAATAAAAATATATTTAATGCCTTTTTTTTTCCAGGGGAGAGTACTGGGGATTGACCCCAGGGGCACTCAACCACTAAGCCGCATCCCTAGCCCTTGTTTGTATTTTATTTAGAAACAGAGTCTCAGTGGGTTGCTCAGGTCCTCACTAAGTTGTTGAGGATGGCTTCGAACTCTCAATCCTCCTGCCTCAACCTCCTGAGCCACTGGAATTACAGGTGTGCATTACCATGCCTGGAACCTTTTCTACTCTTTCTATTTTTTAAAAAAATATAATTTTAGTTATACACGGACACAATATTTTTATTTATTCTTATGTGGTGCTAAGGATCAAACCCAGTGCCTCACATGTGAAAGGCAAGTACTCTGCCACCAAGCCACAACCCCAGCCCCACCTTTTCTACTACTCTTGAAGATTTGTTTTGTAGCAGCCATGACTTTAAAGAACTGATCTAGGATAACGCTTTTTTTTTTTTTTTTTTGGTACTGGAGATTGGACCCAGGGTGCTCCATCACTCAGCTACATCCCCAGCCCTTTTTAATTTTTGAGACTAGATCTCCCTAAATTGCTGAGGGTGGCTTTGAACTTGCAATCATCCTGACTCAGCATCTCAAATCGCTGGGTTTACAGGCATGCACCACCATGCCAGGCTGAAAGCAGTCTTTGTTCAATGTTTCCCAAGTGCCTGTGACAGAACATGGCACATAGTAGGTGCTCAGTAGGTATTTGATAAGTTAGTCTGGTCCTGTTTTTATGCAGAAATATGTCACACTAATACAACCTCTCCCATATTTCCAAAGAAAGAAATATTTACTTCACATACCAAATAACAATTTAAGTAATTTTCTTTTTCACTTTCCCCTGTATAGTGATCTTTAAAATACCTAAGACAAAACCATTTTTCCTTCCTTCTCTGAACTAAACTGTCTCATTTTATTTATTTATTTGTTTGTTTTGTTTGTGGTGCTGGGGATGTGAACCCAGAGCCTTGTGCATCTGAGGCAAGCACTCTACCAACTGAGCTATATTCCCAGCCTATTTAGAAGAGTACTGGTTCAATTTTTCTTTTTCTTTTTGGTGGTACTCAGGATTGAACTAGGGCTAATCGCTATACCTCTGAGCTACATCCCAATCTTTATATATATATATATATTTTAGAAGTAGTTGGACACAATACCTTTATTTTGTTTATTCATTTTTTTAATGTGGTACTGAGGATTGAACCCAGGGCCTTGTATGTGCCAGACCAGCACTCCACCGCTGAGCCACAATCCCAACCCTCTTTTATTTTTTAATTAAAAAAAATTTAAATGTTGATGCAGGGTTTTGCTAAATTGTCCACACTGACCTTGGTTAATCTTGTGATCCTCTTGCCTTAGTCTTCAAGAGTAGCTGGGATTACAGAACGCATCATGCCAAGAAAATGCTATTATTATTATTATTATTTTTAATACTGAGGATTGAACCCAAAGGCACTTAAACACTGAGCCATAATCCCAGCACTTTTTATATTTTATTTAGAGACACAGGTCTTGCTAAATTGCTGAGTCTGGCCTCAAATTTGCAATCCTTCTCCTGCAGCCTCCTGATTCATTGGGATTACACCATTCCCAGTATAAATGCTATTATTTGTAGAAATCTATCAGAACAGGGAGCCCAAAACAAACTTCTTTGTTTCTGGTCACTCAACAGAATGAACATTTTCTCCTTGGTACTGGAGGTATAACTTCATTCACATATCCATATAACAGACCTTTAACGTACCTACCATACGAAAAGCACTACGCTAGGATTGTAACTTCATAATCACAACTTTGTTGTAGAAATTCCTTGCCTACCTTTATGGGAATGAATGCCAAGCAATGATAGTAAAATAAAAGTGAGACTGGAAAGATCCTTCGGACTGGGAATGGTGCTCCAAAGACTCTTCTTTTCTTCTTGACAGATCAGTACAGACCAAGGGAAGTACCTAAGAAGAAGGCTCTAGAGATTTATTCATTTATTTTTTATAGTGATGGGGATTGAACCCAAGGCCTTGGATATGCTAGGTAAGCAGCACTCTACTAGATAACTATATTCCACTCCCCACCTCTGAATGTCTTCTTTTAAAGTAGTTTTACGCTTCCCTACCAATAACAAACAAACAAAAATCACCTTTTTAATCTCCCCTTAAGGTATCATGCCAAGTAAATATGGAAACTAGTATCTATTGCTTTCTAATAAAGATTATATGATTACTATAGTGACTCACACCTGTAATCCCAGCTACTGAGGAGGCTAAAGTAAGAGGATCACTAATTTGAACCTAGCCTAGGCAATTTAGTGAGAACCACCCCCCAATCTCAAAATTTAAAAATTGAAATTAAAAAAAGGCTGGGAATGTAGCTCAGTGGTAGAGTACTCCTGGGTTTAGTCTCTAGTACTGCACCCCGCAATAGATTTAAGAAACATTCTGACTTAGCAATCTTTCCTGAACAAATGAAGCCTAGTAATTAAGAAAGAAGAATTAAAGGACACTCAATGTTGATGAATCAGACTTGTTTTATAATAGGAGAGCCTACAGATCTGTATTTATATGATGTTAAAATTTACATTTGGTGCCACGCATGGTAACACACGCCTATAATTCCAGCAGCTCAGAAAGTAAGGCAGAAGGATAATGAGTTCAAAACCATTCTTAGCAACTTAGCAAGACCTAAATAAATTAATGAGATCCTATCTCTAAATAAAAATTCAAAAAAGGACTGGGGATTTGGCTCAGTGGTTAAGCACCCCTGAGTTCAATCCCAGGTATCCCCCAAAATTATATTTGAGTCATTGGGATTACAGGCATGTGCCATCATGCCCAGTACAAATGCTATTATTTGTAGAACTCTATCAGAACAGGGAGCCCAAATCAGTGAGACCCTCTCTCTAAATAAAAAATAAAAATGGCTGGAGAATGTGGCTCAGTGGTTGAGTGCCTCTGCATTCAATCCCCAGTACGTACCAACCAACCAACCAATAAATGTATATAGAACCTAAGTGCAGTGGCACATGCCTGAATTTCTGAGTCCAGGAATTCCAGGCCAGACTAGGCAATATAAGAAGACCTTTCTTCAAACCTAACAAAAACAAAACAAAACAAAAATCCAACAAACATATTTAATTCACAGTGTTTTTCTTTTTTTTTAACTTATAAAAGTAACTCATTTCATTGTAACATATTTAAATAGGAATAATAAACAGAAGTTAAAGTATGAATCTTAATCTTGGATAAAAATCTCTACTTATAGGGTTTTGTTCTTTTTTTAATTTGTTTGTATAATGTTGGGCATCATACCAAGAGCTTCAAACATGTTAAGCAAATTCTCTACTACTGAACTATTCCCTCAGATCTATACTTACAGTTTGGAGGAGTTTGCATGACTGAGGAGGATATCCACAAGGGGAGTTTCCTGAATGCTGAAGCCATCATCACAGTCTCCTGAAGGGGGCTGGTCTTCCATCTCTGAAGCATACCCTTCACCTTGATCCTCCTCTTTGGATTCTAGCTGAACCTCACCCTGAGAATTTAAGGAAACTTTTACTATTTGTGTGGTAATTTTATTTGCACAGAATAAAATAAGGCTAAACTTAAGGTGAGAAAAGGCAAATTATTATAAAGCTATAAAAGAAATTAGAGAAAGCCGACTTAACTAGACCTAAATCAATAAATTCTTAGTAAGTATCTTGCTAGAGAATTTTAACTCTGCCTCCTCAACCCCCAAATGAAAAAACAATATTTACTCAGTTTTAGTTGGATGCTGTACTCTTTGAAATTATCAATAGAATCTGTGGGCCCTGGAGTAATAACTATAGCTGGCCAGATTTTTTTTATATATTTTTATATGTATAAAATTTTGTTTTGTTTTTATTTTGGTACTTGGGATTGAACTCAGGGATGCTTTACCACTGAGCTACATTCCTAATCCTTTTTTTTAAAAGACAGATTCTAAATTGCCCAGGTTGACCTTGAATTTGCAATCCCCTTGCCTGGGCCTCGAAAGTAGCTGGGATTACAGGCCTGCAGCACCACAACCACTGGCAAGATAATGTCCCCCAGGCTGGTCTCAAACTCCTGAACTCAGCTAGGACACTGGGTGAACTGTTTCATTTAAATCTCACAGCAAACCTACAAAATAGAACACATTATCCTATTTGGAGCAGAGACAACTGAGGTTCTAAAATATGTGGTGATATGCCGAAGAACACACAGCTAAAAGTAGTACTAAAACCAGGATTTGGACCAGGTAGTTATACACCTCTGCAGTTAACCTACGAGCTCTAACCACTCTGCTCTACCTCCCCTTGAAGACAAACCAGACAGCTGATTTAAATTATTTACTTACCTCTTCACTCTCTGTGGGTAGTCCCTGAACCGCACTAATATCTGAGGGAACAGGAACCACCTCAGGCTTTCCATTTTCTCCCTGCAGCCTTTTTTCAGCTATTAAGGGTTCTACCTTGGCTAAAGGCTCTTCAGTTTCTCTGCAGGGATTCCCTTCTCCTTCAGTGGCTTCAATTTCCCTTCCCTCTTGTTGTTTGGTACCAGATGGAGGATAGCAGCCTTCACTTGAGTCTTTGCTGCTAATGCACAATGGCTCCATTAAATAAGCAACCTGTAATCAAAGTGTACAGAAACTCCATGCAAATTATCCACACATCAGTAATGGCATATGCTTACACTGACACTGTGATTATGCTTGAGATGGCAGATAGGTTTGAAATCAAACCTATCAAATGTATACATAGGCACTGGGTTAGTTGCTAGGGATGCTATAGTAAACAAGAAAGATATAGTTCATGCATCTTCAAGGAGCTTATGTTCTCAATTTTCAGTTTTGATCAATTGGGACTTGCTGTCTAGAAAACTTGAAAAATGTGTTTGCTACAGACTTCAACAGAGATAAGTGGCAACATCTGAACTAGATCCTTGCTCATCCTGTGTTCAGTTGTAGCATAAATAAATTCTTTTGTCCAAATAATTATATTTCTTTTTTAAAATATTTATTTATTTTTTTTTTAGTTTCTGGTGGACACAATATCTCTATTTTATTTGTATGTGGTGCTGAGGATCGAACCCTGCACCCCGCGCATGCCAGGCGAGTGCGTTACCGTTTGAGCCACATTCCCAGCCCTATATTTCTTATCAATATATTTCTTGTCCTTATCTCTGTACCAAGTTAATAAGAACCCTTTAAAATTCTGACTTGCAGCCAGGCACAATGGTACACACTTGTAATCTCAGTGACTCAGGAAGCTAAGGCAAGAGGATTGCAAATTCAAGTTTGTCAGCCTCAACAACTTAGTGAGATGCAGTCTCTGGGAATGAGGGTTAGGGGAAGGGCTGTAGAGTAACTCAGCGGTAGAGTGCCTGTGGGTTCAATTTCTAGTATGGGGGTGGGGGGACTGCCTTAAATTATAATATTTTAAGCTTCAAGGAGAGTTTTGTCAAGTATAACTTCTCATGACTCTTAAAGAATGAATTGCCCCAGTGGCTGGGGAGGCTGAGGCAAGAGGACCACGAGTTCAAAGCCAGCCTCAGCAATGGCAAGGCAGGTGCTCAACAACTCTGTGGGACCCCGTCTCTAAATAAAATACAAAATAGGGCTGGGGATGTGGCTCAGTGGTTGAACGCCCGAGTTCAGTCCCAGGTTCACCCCCCAAAAAAATTTTTTTTAAAAAGAATAAATTGCAAGGATTCTCATAAGGCAGTCTTACATATAGAAATTCCACTCCTTTGATTTTAGCTCCCTAAAGACTATATTTGGTGCATATTCTGTATCAGCACCAAGTGCAGGGGACACAACAATTAGCTTAGTCATTGCCACTATGGGCCTCATATTTTAGTAAATATGGAGAAAGGTAGCTACATGTAAGGGTGAGCATTCTCTTAAAAATTTGATGTTCTTTTGGCTTTGGAATTAATGCCCACTATTACCTCAGAAAGAAAATGGAGGAGGTTCTGGCGGTTGACTTGCTCTGCCTCTTCCTGAGATTCCTCACTGCCTTCATCTCCCACAAGCAGCTCACTAGTTTCTCTCCCTGGGCTGCTTTCCTCTAGTTCCTCAGCCTCTGGATCTTCAGTTTCCCTCCAGCTGCCCACATCAAGATCCAGACTGGAGTCCCATGAACTGAAGAGGGACCTGCAGTCGTTGCTCAACTCAGAGTCATTGGGATAGTCTTGTTCAGAATCCAACCAAACCCACTCACGCCCCATCTGTAAATACACAGAACAAAAATGCATTAAATTTATTCAAATAATATCCCTAAGGCATCTCCATCTTCCAAGTTCAGTAGAAATACAAGGGGCCAGAATTTTTTCTCTATTCATTATCAGGAAGTACAAAAACTAGCAGAAAGGAAATATTAAGAAATGAAATAATCTTTTAAAATAAGAAAAAGCTTCATGTCAATATAATACACATTTCCCAATAATGTTTTTTACTTGGATTTCCTCATACTCCGTAAGAAGGGAAAGAACTAGACACAGTTAGCTTAACAGACTTCCTTTATCCCAAATAACCCATAAATTCAGCTAAAAGGCATCAAATTTGAGGGAACAAGAGGTATATTCCTCAGCAAATACATAACCTATTAACCATCACATCCTTAAAATTCACTTTTGGTCATATCCAACTATCATTTTTCATAGTAAAAACAGAAACATCAAGTTTTAATGCTATCTTCCCTTGTTCATTGTACTACACTATCCTGGCTTTAAAAATTTTTTTAGATTTGTCTTCTCCCTTTTACAACTTTAAATACAGGCTTTTCTTTTATGTTTTTGCTTGGTTCTCTGCTTCCTTAATACTTCCATTAAAAAATGTATATAGAGCCAAGTGCAGTGGTGCAAACCTATAATCCCAGCAGCTCAGGAGGTTGAGGCAGGAGGATTGGGAGTTCAAAGTGAGCCTCAGGAACCTAGTGAGGACTAAGCAACTCAGTGAGATCCTCTCTCTAAATAAAAAATAAAAATGGCTGGGGCATGTGGCTCAGTAGTTGAGTGCCCCTGGGTTCAATCCCCAGTACTAACCAACCAACCAACCAACCAACCAACCAATGTATACAGAAGCTGATTGCAGTGGTACATGCCTGTAATCCCAGCATCTTGAGGTGGAAGAGGGAGAACTACAAGTTCAAGGCCAACCTCAGCAATTTAGCAAGGCTCTAAAAATAAATGGGCTGTGGTAAATAGCCCCTGAGTTTGAACCTCCATATCACACCTCAAAAAAAAAAAAAAAAAAAAAAAAAAAAA